AGCCGGTAGATTATGGAATCGGTTACTTAGTACAACATTGATCGATTTGGGATGGCCGTGGAACATTACTCGTTGGAATATACGTGGATGATTTATTGGTCACTGGGACGAATGACGAATTAGTGAACGAACTGTTTGATTCATTGAAAAGCTAACAAATCAAGGACTTGGGAGAAGTTAACAAGCTCTTGGGAAGGTGAATCATCAAACACGAAGAAGACTATTTTCTTGATCAAGAAAACCTTATTAATGACATCTTAAACCAATATGGAATGAATGACGCAAAAATGACAAGAATTCCGATTGATTCTGGACATTTATATGACGAATCCAGCCCTAAATTGCACGTCCAAAGAGTTTCAGGTCTCTAGCGGTGAGTTTGTTGTGGATTATGCGTTGCACGCGTCCAGACTTGTTATTTGCCGTTCATAAGATGACGAGAAGAACCCATGATCCAAGGGAACACGACTTACAACTTGGTAAAAGAACTTCCCGGGATAAAGATCCAAGGCAACGTTTTCGATTGGGTTTTGTTCCAAGGCGATAGACAACAACGAAAGTTATGGTTTCGAATACAACTCAGCTAACGATGGACTTGTGAAACTGTAAGCTTTAGTACCAGGCAATCGTCGACATAGTCTTTTTAGCCTTGCATGAAATATTTTTGCATATGTCGAACTTATACAAAATAGCATACAAATCCAGAAATAAATTAGACAGCCACTAACTTAAATTTGCACGAGGTTCCAAAGCAGCAACGGCTAACATGTTGTTTTGAATGACTTCAGAAACTTCAAAGAATCCATCCAATCCAAGTGTTGACGCAAACGTGCTATCCAGATCACGTAGCTCAATATACGTGGATTCATCCTCACCTAGCGCCAAAAATGTGGTCTCTGTTGTTTCTAATAATTCAAGAACGGCTCGACCACCTAAGTAAAGCTTAGTAAGGATACTCTTCACTGCAGTCGCATAAATGCTAAGATTTGTCAGACTATGTCGATCAATTGCACTGTTCCAAAGCATAATTGTAACTAGCAAATGGCAGAATGCCAACGCGGGCAATTTTTTTTTCGTCGTCTGGTCCTCTAGCCAAGACCAATCAGCGAAGAAAATGTACGGCAGTCTTTTCAGCGTGTGATTCCAAAGATATGCAAACGTCTTTTTACCAAATGAATTCAATCGAAAACTGCCATATTGAGGACATTCGCTCGTTACTGTCAGCACATCAAACATGACTAGAAACAAATAAACGGCAGGAGACTCGTTCGCGTTGAATTTCATAGCTGGCATGACTGATTTATAGTGCAACTTTTGTGCCAGAATCCACATAGTATTTTCTTGTCGTCGGCTCCACGCGTATATAGCATCAAACTCATTCGGAAGGCTTGCCACCCCAGCTGGATTGACAGACAACTCAGGCTTTTCCAATGTTGGCTCATCAAGGTCACTCACTTGTTTTAATAAAAAGTCAACAAGTGCTTTGGCCCATGAAAGGTGCGTATTTTGCACCACGGTTCTGGAAATGGCGCGCAAACTGGCGGCGCTTAATGGTTCAGAGAGCCTTAAAGCTTTTGGATTAATTCCTACACGAACATTTTGTCGATTAAGGATTACAGCCTGAAGAATGCACTGCGTCAAGTGCACAGGAAAGCTATGCAAAATGCTGTATCGACGTTGGAATTGAATTACCCGAGGAATTTCCACACACTCGTCGGATTTTAGCTGCGTAAAATAACTTGTCCAAGCATTGTCCAAATCAGGGGCGCCACCCAAGCAAAAGTACAACAGTAAACCCATTTTCAGGTCTGCCTCGTTCTCCAAGAGATCCGTAATTTCTGAGTGATTGTTTTCGGTGCTGCAAGTCTCTGGTGTATCCGCAGCATTAACGTTACTTGGTAAGTTCATGTCTTCCTCGTCTAAAACGATATCCGGAGGAGCTCTGGCCGCATCTTCCCCCACATCGGCTTCGTGGTCATATTGATTGTCACCGTCGTCTCCGAATTCATTAACATTTCTCATGCCGCTGTCTTCGTCGTCATCGACATCGCCATCATCCTCTTCAATAACGATCACTTCGTGGGATTTTGGAAGTTGGCGAATACGACGAAAGGGAACTTCTAATTGCTCCGATCGTTTGCTCTTTTCATAGTCATTGTTATCGCAAGCATCATGGTACTGTCCCATAGATGCAGGAAGCAATCGTGTAGAATTCGAGACATTGCGTCGTACGGGTGCAGCACTTGAAAGATAGCTCGGAGAATAAAACGGTTCGTTGCTGCTCTGATTGTGACGACCACTTCGAGCATTTATCGGCTCAAAACGAGATAATTCAGTATTTCTTGCTTCATAAAATCGATCATGTACGTTTCTTCCTGAAGTCCATCGAGCTCGATCTTGGGCTGAACGATCAAATTCTGACCACGTATAGTCAGGTGCTGATTTGTGATGTGAAGTCCTCCGTTGACGGTTCCAATAAGTATTAGGGGACGGTGGACTGTAATTTGGGCGGTCTCGTCGAGCTTTCTGTTGTACGTCGTCTTCTAGTCGTTTCATTCTCTGTTCCAAATCTCGATGATAACTTCGGACGTCAAATATTGCGTCTTTAAGACGACTGATCTCGTTCGCATGTAGTCGAGAGTCATGCCCTAAGGCGCCAAATAGCTGCGTGCTCAACTCTTGCAGTCTAGATTCGAAAATATTTTTAGTCGGACTCTCACGCACGTCTCTCTGCTTGGCTAACGAATAAAAGTCGGCTTTGAAGGTTTGGATGTCGCAATTTATTAGTCGCAACTGTTCATAAATCCCACTTAAATTCTCTGGGCGCATCGAAGCTTGAGGTGAAGACGTTGGCAGTATAAGCATCGTATTGTCAGACGTTGCACGTTTTTTTGTTGAGCATAAGTTGTCTTTTTTTCTGTCAAGTCCAAGCATTCTCTCTGCGTTAGCAACTCGTCTCTCGAACTCAACCAATTTATCTTTAAATTGGTTGTCCAATTGAGTGCATCCTCGTTCATCTTGATTACCTCTCTCGATCCTTTCATTTTGTTGCTGCAGCGTATCTAATTGGTTTATCTTGTCGATTAAAAACTTGTTCTCCCCGCTTAAACTCTGTATCATTCTTTCCATAGTCCCCATCTGTCTCTTGAGTGTCTTGTTTTCCTTCAAACGAACGAGCACTCTCTCCAACTGCTTCTGTTGAGCTTTTTGCGCCGCATCGTGGTCTTTTCGAACCTTCGCGAGTTCATTTTCGTACTGCTCTTGTAACTCCGATAGCTGCGTCATTATAAAATCTTCGGTTATATTGCTCTGAGTACATTCTGCTATTTGCTTGTCTAATGTAATGCATTTCTTGCTCACTCGGTCCAACTTTGCATTAACGGCGTGTATCTTGCTCTCAGTACTCTCGGCGGCCTCTTCTTTAGCTTTAGTGGCTGCAAACGCAAGCTCCTGCGCCGCCTGCGCCTGCGCCACACACAACTCAGAGTTTTCTACAGCGGCTTCAACCGTGTCGTCTATTTTTTCAATCTCCATTCGCACACGCGCGCACTCACTTCGTAGCTCAGATAGGTCGATAGTCAAAACGCGGTACCACTTCTCGAGCGTCTGCAATTGCTTCTCGACAGAGAGAAGTGAAGCGGAATCGTTCGGTGCGTTGACGTGACTTGAACGCTTACGCTTGCGCTTGGTACCAGACTCGAAGCTACGTGAGAAAGGCGTCGCCATGAGCCTCAGATATGGAGTAAGAATTATGTATCTAATTTTGTGCTGGACTTGAATGTGCGACGTGTGACAAGGTGACTCTGTATGTACATACGAGTGAGAAAATAGACTCTATGAAATCTGTTATCCGACCTGCTTTAGTGATGCAGTCATCGATTGACATGTCGTTTAGTGATAGCCGCTGGAAAGAATCAATAAACAGTGTGGACGTAAAGTAGTATGCCCCTCGCCTAAATTTCTTGTTGTTAACAGCTGCGCTCATTTCTTTGCGACGAATCTCCAGCTACTGGTCAAGCTTGAAGCTGAAATACGGTCAATCCTACTCGCTAGGGAGAAGTACGCTGCACTGGGCGAAATGCCATTATTTAGAAAAAGCAGAGTATGTGCCGAGTCAATAGAACTAACGGCGTCCGAATAATTCTTAACATAGTGACCCCTCAAGCCTCCATTATTTTTGAAGTGAGGTTACACTCTACCAAAT